TTCTATTTTGCTATCTTGTTTAAGTCACTACCAACTACATCAAAGTCAGTGATCAGGTCACTGTTTGAGCTTTTAATTTTTCCTTGGGAATGCAGTCTACTGATCAACAGACCCCTGATGTAACCTCTCTTAGTGTGTTGCTTTTGGGTAGGTACAGACTCAAGTGTAAATGACTGAAATGGGATGAAAATGGAGATGTAAACTCAAGACCGAACAAGGCCTTTTCAAAACATTCTATGGTGTTAGATCATCTGCAGATCTACTGTTAGATTATTTTACATTTGGCTAGTAATTCTTTTTGCTTAATAGTATCAATTGCAAACACTACTGTGTAAATCGGAGGTGGGGGTGGTATCGAGAAGTAACTCCATTTGTAGATAGGCCACCTGCACTAAGCTAGAACAGCCAAAAGCCAAAGGCAGGACCCGCACCAGGAACCCTCCTGCTGGAGCCAGAGCTTTAGCCTCACCTCCCACCTTGGAGAGGAGAGGCTGTTTCTTCCCCTCCTTTATAATAAGCAAACACCATCTAACTCAATCAAGCACAGCAGTCCTCCTGAGGAAACTTTGTTCCCCGGGGTGATTTGCTGCCCTGCTAATGCATGACCCACTTCCTTCCTGCTGGCGTCCAGCTCACTGAGCCCCAGGCATGGGGCCCACAGAGCGATGGGTGCGCAAATCACATGAGGCAACAGCACTGCCTCATCCAACCTCCAGAACACAGGCTGGCTTCCAGGGGATGGGAAGGAGAAGTGTGGCAGTGGGTGGAGGAATCCAGCCAGCTTCCAGGGGATGGGAAGGAGAAGTGTGGCAGTGGGTGGTGTTGGGAGAAGCCTGGAACCAGAGAAACCTGGCTGTTTTCTATCAACCCACAGGAGGCTTCTTAGCTAGGGAGTTAAAGAACTAAAGTCCTATCTTGAAGTCATCTGTTTTTAAACTTGCTGCTGCACAATTTCAACTTCGGAAGGTGGTGAGGTCCAGTAAGCTCTCATTAATGCTAGACAGCACTGGTGGCGAACTTGGTATGATTCTTTCTACAGCCCAACCGGACACATAGAGCAACCCGTGGGGAAAGGGTGTCCTCATCCTGTACAGATAGGGCTTGTCTAAGAATGGCATTGCTTCTTTGAGTTCTAGGTGAAGAACTAAAAACACTGTCTACTATATAAAACCTTGTGTAGTCCTGAATATCAACTATTATTATAAGCAAGTCAGCATTTACTTTTCTCAATGCCATCTGAAATTTATTTTCTCTTCTACAAGATGATTCCTAAGAGGCAAATATCTTCTTACTTAGATATTTTGGACTGGCATTTATATTATACATTATCAATATCATAAACTTTTAGTCCTAGTAGATTAAAAGGAAAGATTCATCAATTCATTCAAAATATAGTATATTTTGAATTCAAGGCCAGACAGATGCATGCTAACCAACAAGTGTGCAGTGAAATCTAGCACCATACAATAATCTGTGACCCCATGGAGCTTGCTATGTCCTTAGACTATAGCCTGTTCGCAGAAATGCTGAGTCTCAGTATGGATCTGGGCTTTGGGGGCTCTAGATGGACCCCCAGGATGATGGGCCTGCAGAGCTTTGTGAGGTAGGGGTGGACATACATACCCTTCCCGATGAGCCTCTCCTTTCTCCAGCTCCTGAATGACCCCCAAGAGCACTTTGATGGTTTCCTGGCTCGAGCTGATCAGGTTCTCCATCATCTGCAGCTGGGCTTTGAGGTCGACCACGTCCGTATGAGGCACGATTTGTTGGCATTCTTCCCCCGCAGCCACCGCCGTCGGGCTGGGCTGGTTGTCCAGCCCCGGTGGGGCTTGCGTCTGCAGGGGCTGGTCACTACATTCGGGGGACAGACGCTGCAGCGGCGACGCCTGGAGCCCGTTGAGATGTGTGGCTCTCCTCCGCTCCTCATCCGCAGGGCACAGGGACCACTGGCTTGCAGCGGCAGAGTTTGACAGGCCTGGCTCGGGGGCCCTGGCACCGAGGACAGGGGCATACACTGTGGCGACCTCCGTTTTAAACACCCTCCCGAGGGCGGGCGGGACGGGCTCCTCGGAGTCCGGCGTCCCCCTGTCGGACTCGGCTGTCCCATGCAGCTGGGACCCGGGCTCTCGAGAAGGGGGCCGAGCGGGGCTCTGCACGGGGCCTTCTCGGGAGCTGAGCACGTCGGGGTTTTTGCAGGGCCCCGCACAGTTGACCCCGGCCGGTTGGTCCAGCGCATTCACATGCTCCTCAGAATGGAAAACCAAGGCCATGGTTTTGTGCACCCGAGCTGCGCCGCACGGCGGGGCGTCCTCCAGGTGTCCCCCCTTGTCCTTAGCGTCTGCTGGAAACCCATTGTTTTGGCTCTTAAAGGGATCCGCAGCTGGGATGCTTTTGAGACTGCCTTTTTTGCGGTCCAGAGGGAACGTCTGGTAGCACTTTTTGAGGTCGGGCGAGGTCTGCACGCCTGTGCTCTTGGTGACGTTGGGGATGGACCTGCGCGCGGGCACCGTCATGTACTTGCGATAAGCAGCCCTGCAGGACACTGGCTTGGCCTCCCGCTTCTCGCCCTGCAGTCCCGACATGAGCTGTGTGTCCCTCTGCTCGTTCTGCGCCTCGCAGATGTCCTTGAAGCGCACCTGCAGGGCTTTGTTCCGTTTTTTAATCTGCCGGTTGGGGTCCAGGGCGTATTTCATCTCCAGTGCCAGGCACGCGGCGGGTTCCACTTCGCTCTCCGACGCGGCCAGCATGCATTTGCCGCCCTCCTTGCTGACCATGGTTCCTGCATTCAGAACAGTGACAGAGGTGTCAGTGGCACAGAAATAGTGCGAACACAGCAGCACGACTTTTAGCAAAAATGACGACTGCCTGCGCCCTAATGATTTCTAAGCAGGTGAGGTCGGCTTTTATGTTAAGGAGAATCACACAGGCAGAGGGTTGTTGGCAGGCACAGCTTGAAATGCTGCTCGGATATTAAAGATGCCTTGCTTTTCCAGGTGGGATACACACGTTTTTCTTTTGATAGTAATGCATGTAGCCCCACTAGACAAACTTGTTTTACTATATTCATCAAGAAACCGGGTGATGCTGCCTCCTCTGCTTTGCAAATTATCTTTGCACACACGTGCCTCTCTTTCACAGGCAGATGGTTTACCAAGTGCAACTTACTTGGTTTGGGTTTTTACTATTTTTTGAGGGTGATGTGATTAATCTGTTATTGGAATCTAAGAGAATTGCTGTTTTAAAGACTTACTGAAGATTCTAGGTCTTAAGCACATAAGTGGGGACAGCCTACAATGAGCAGCAGAAATAAATATATTTATGTAAGCCATTATGGATTCCATGGGAGAGTTGGCCATCCTCCTGTATAGAAATACATAAAAGATAAATCACTGAGGGGTGGTTTGCTTCTAATGGGTTAACACCAGCCATCAAAACAACTTGGGTTTCCCTGCATCTACAAAGGCAGTGTTAGCAACTTTTTTCTTTCATTCCATGGCGAGGGTTATGTGGAAGTACTTTTAAGAAAATAATAAAAGAAATTATTCATTCTGGAATCAAGTTTTGTGTTTTGATCACAACCTCCAAAAATGAAAACAATGGTGGTTATTTCAGTGCTTAAATCCTGAAAGAAAATAAAATCATGAGGCTTTATGTTAATCATGCAAATTCATCCTGGGCTGAATTATTAAATGCAGCTAAAAAGATGCAGGTGGCCACTGATTCCTCTGGGGAATACCAGTAGGGTAACATGCCTTTGCTTTATTAGGCAGATTTGCAGCTGTCTATTGCACATGGAAGAACTTTGTTGAGGGTTGAACTTAAAGCAAGAAAATACAGTTAACTATGTTGTTTGGGAGTTAGCCTTCGCTTTTCTCCCCATGGTGTCTGAGAAGGAAATAGTTAGATGGGAGGAAACATGGGGGTGTGCAAGGCCCTGGTGGCTGGAGCCAAGTGGCCAGAGAGGCAAGGTCATGACACGAGCTGGCAAGAGCTGCACTGCCCAGCCCAGCTGTTGACAGACCTGAACCCTGTCCTGGGGGAGCCTGAGAACCCAGCCCAGAGACCTGTGGAAGCACTTTTTGGGAATTATCATGAAAACTGCAATGCTTGTGGTAGGGCCACAGCTTATAGGGTCAGAGGGACCATGGGCCAGATGCTCTGCTAGTCCACGTACGGAATACTCTCCTTAAAAGCGCCCCCAAAGGTCAGTGCCATGCTTCCCATTTCAAAGAGAAAACTGGGGTTCAGAGAGGATATATCACTTGTCCAATGTCACACAGCAAGTAAGAAACACAGGCAGGAGCAGGACTCTGATCCACCAGACCCTTGAATCTGTGCTGTTTGTAATAGACCCAGGTGTTCAACAACCAGACGCATGACCTGTCAGCATTGCAGGCCGGACAGGTATGGTGGATTGGCAAAGTGGAAGGAGAGAGAAAACTTCATGGGCCCTATCTGGGAGTGTGTTCCACGACTGGCCCTCTCTGCAGTCTGGGGACTGTTACATTGACTTCTGCATCTTGGGCTGGTGTGGTCCTGCCACTCTGTAGGCCTCCACCAGTGTTTACTGAAAGAAAGGTTGAGAAAAATCAAGTCCCTTATACATTATGCCATGAGCTGGTAGTTATGTTTGAAGATGACAAAAAATAATCTCTGCAGCATTTGATTTAGATTAGACCAGGGTTTCTCAAAAATGGCACTAATGATATTTTAGGCTGGGTAATTTTGTTGTTGGAGGGGCTTTCCGGGGCGGTGTAGAACGTTTAGCAGTAGCCTCTCTGGCTTCTAACCACTGGAGAGAAGTGGCACTTTCCCCTCCATGTGACAACTGGAAATGTCTCCAGACATTGCCAAATGAGCCTGAGGGTCGTAAGTGTCCCAGCTGAGAACCACTATGTTTGTTTGCCCTTTCACCCCTGAATGCCTAAGGCTCTTGCTCTAACTTAGAATAGGTCCTCAAAGGCGAGGCTTGGGTAGAAAGCCAAGGGAGGTCTTTGGTGCTTTACTAGGTGCTGGGAATGTCTGGAGACCTCTGTAATTTCTGAGACTCAAAAAACTGGGCAGTTTTAGTGAGGAGGTAAAAGGAAAGGGACAGACTGGAGATGCAGCAATATACTGGCTCTGTTTTCAGGTGGTGTGCGGGGCATGGCCTGCCTGCTCACAGAGGGAATCTCTTAGAGACCCTTATCCCAACAGGGTAAAAAGATGCACACCAGAGAGTGTGGTGTGTAGATGATGGTGGGTGGGGGTATAATGAGAAAATTAAATCTTAACCCTCACTCTTATCTCATACTCATTCTTTAACTGCCGTTGTCCAGGTAGATCAGAATATATTCTGCCATCATTCTGCAGAAGACCTTCATACTAGGGAAAATACGAAAGAGAGAGCATTTTTACAAAAAGCAATTTACTAGTAATTTCTCAGCCTTTTTCCCTGCCACTGTTGAAAAATGTGTGTCTGAATAAGTTTGTCCTAGCATGCTATTCATCATTACCATTTGCCAGGAACTGCACTGAAATAATTTTCTTACATCAATCTGCTGGTTTGGAAAGAAGATTCTGAGTCTAGGACCCAGCCATCAAACTAATAACACAATCAGAACAATTAATTGCTGGTGGCAAACTACTACTACTACTAGTAAATTCTAAGCTCTTCTCTGTTTTATAGAGAGTTGCTAAGTATATAAAAATCATTTCCTTATTAGTAAAAATGATGGTAATACTTAGGATTTTTGATCAGTTTAGTTCTTTGTTGCAAACTTTGTTTTAAACTAGTAGTAACTGAGTTGTCCTGACTTTCTGATAGTGGAGACACCAGAGAGTTTTTTCAATTGATTTATTTTGGCTTCAGATGATCAAAAGTTCCTTTTGATGGCTCGATAACATACATTTTCTAAAGCTTTCGAATGGAATTTTCTTGGACATTCATAATTACTTAGGTGGACACATCTTTCCACAGTTTGTATTACCTACTGGGGGGATCAGGCTTATAGTGACTACCATTAAGAAAATTACTTGGGGGCTGGCTGGTTAGTTCAGGTGGTTAGAGTGTGGGGCTGATAACACCAACATCCAGGGTTTGATCTCTGTACCCACCAGCTGCCAAAAAAACCCACCAAACACAGATTTTGTCACGAAAGTGGGGCAATTCTACAGAAGACTGTCCATGAGACAAGTGGAACCTGGTTCATTCATCATTCCTTCACACCTTCATTCAGCAAATGAATATACTTAAGTTACAATGTTGCATGAACATTCAGCTCCTATGCTGTGTACCTCTGTGTCGTAACCAGATGTCAGCATCCTCCTGCACATGTCACTTCCATTTTCTCACTGGACCCTGATGACAGCCTTACAGGGGAAGCATGATTGTTATACTGTAGACTGAGAAACTGAGGCATATGATTTTTTTTTTTTTTTTTGTAACTTGCTCAGAGTCACACAGCCAGGGGCTGCACCCTGAATCCGTCTGGAGCTCATACACTAAACTACTACCCCTGCTCAGGGAAATCTGTATCTTGAAGACCCGGGATAATCATCAAAAATCATCAGATAACTTAAACTCATCTGAGCAATTTCCTTGGCCTGTTCCTGTGATGTGTTGTTGTAGGTTATTCAAGGACCCCCAGGTCGGTCCAGGAACACACCTGGCCCTGGAGCACAGACTGAGTGAGGGTCGCCTTGAATTTTGGACTAAGCACAACACCTAAATGGCATTTTTAACAATGGCTTGCCCTGGCTGGGTCACCCCAGAAAACCGTGGACTTTGGTTCTTGGACTTAATCTCTGGGCTCTAAAGCAGCAGTTCTTAAATTTATTTTTCATAAGAAAATTGTATTTTAGAATCCACTGGACTGTGCCGTCTTGAGATGAAAGTGGCTAGTCATGCTTGTGTCCGTCTGCCTCAGAGAGAGCTAGATATCGAGGAGCTGTTTGGAATACAAATGTCTTAATTACTCTCAAATTAAATTTCATAATCAAATGTGAGTTGTAAATATATAAACCCTGTATTTTTAGATTTGTGATGTAGAGCCATCTCTGCATGTGGCTTTAAATTAATAGCTTATATAAAAATGTTCATTCCAACTTAGAGTGAAAACTGGAAGCAACTAAATGCCTAACAACAAGTAAAGAGTTAAGTAATTTATGGTGTACATTCATTCGGTGCAGCCATTAAATGATAATTATAAAGATTATTTAATATCACAGAAAAACACTTATGAAATAATGTTAAGTGAAAGAAAACAGTCTACCAGATTGTTCTGGAAAAAATGAAAAAAAATGGTCATTGTCATATAAAAATAGTCGATTTGGGGATATTTATTTTTTCCTGTTTTCCAATTTTTTGGGGGGGATGTTGGGAGGTATATTTCTGTTACCTTGTTTTGCCAATTAAAGAACACAGGCAAAGCCAATCCACACGCTTAGCAAGTCTCTGCAAAGCACAGAAACTTGTATCAGAATAAGAGAAACCCATAAATGATGAGATTTGGGTTCCTGTTTTCCAATTTTTTGGGGGGGGGTGTAGGGAGGTGTATTTCTGTTACCTTTGTTTTGCCAATTAAAGAACACAGGCAAAGCCAATCCACACCTTTAGCAAGCCTCTGCAAAGCACAGAAACTTGTATCAGAATAAGAGAAACCCATAAATGATGAGATTTGGGTACAAGCAGATTCCCAAAGGTCATCTTTTATTGTTTTGAGGAAGCCCTGAATAAAGAAAAAAAATGAATTTTAAAATAATGATTTTGCATGTGTGTGTATCTATGCACAGG